AGCAGCATCTGATCTCAATTACCCCCGGTGTAGGGTTCCCGGGTGGGGGGCAGGGGTGGAGACATTTCCTCCATAATCAGAGTCTCTAGGCCCAGCCAGCCAAGGCACTTCAGGACAGGTCCCCTGCATTTCAATAGGCAATAGGAAGGATGTACCCAGAAAAGAGGCCCGGGTCCAACGGCGGGCAGAGGTCAGGGCCTTACTTCACAACCATTTTGCTGTGTGGCCTTCGGATCTCGACGTCTCTGGGCCTCTGATTCTCCCTGCCTGGCTGCAGACGGTGTGGGGGTTCAGTGAGTCTCCGCAGTTGGTTCACTATCGTGGGTCTAGTGTTAATTCGATCCACTACAACCTACAACCACAAAGGTGGCTGTCCCGGACACACGGAGAGAAGGCCCCTGGGGTTGTCGAACTTCCGGAGCTTTGTGACTGGAGACCCTAACCCGGTATTGTCTTCTCCCAGGCGTCCGTCTCCCCAGCCATCCGTGTGCACGGGCAAAATCCTGCCCAGACAAGGGGCTTTTAGGCTCCAGTGTGGGGAGCCTCTTTTGCCCCAAGAGCCCTCACTAGAGCTGTGTTACTACAAGTTTCTCTCCAGCTGTTAAAACTCCTCTTCGAGGGTGGGCTGAGGAGCGAGTGGGCTGGAGGGAGCTTGCGACCAGCCGCCGGAGTTAAGGGCATCTCAGGGGAAATTAAGGGAGACCGCAGACAGGGATTCGAACCTAGAACCCCGGGCTTCGGGGCAGAGCGGATGTCGGGGTCAGCGGAGAGCAGGTCGCAGCGGGCGCAGCTTTCACCCCTTCTGTGTGCGGCCAGGAACTCCCCTCTGGCCTAAGCCAGGGAACAATGCGCTGCTTCCTGCCCGCCCTGCGGCCGCCGGGAAACGCGCAGGGCCCGGGACCCCCTCGCGCGGGTACACGAGGTCGCGCCCCGGGAGACCGAAGGGAGGAGGCTCCGCCGCCCGCCAGGCAGCGCGCAGGAGTGACCCGGAGAACCCAGATGTCCTGATGCGCCCATCACGTGAGCTTGAGCAGCACCGCCGCCGCGTGCCTGGTACGGGAAGAGGTCTGTCTGTGCAGCACCGGAACCCCAGCCCCGCTGCTTCAGCAAACGCGGCTCCTACCTCTGCAGCAAGCTAGACACTGGGAACCGAAGCTCCTACTCTAGTGAGCTAGTAAGGAAGAAAGCAAGCCATGGGCTGTCAGTCACTGCGCAAGCGCGAGGTCCTTGGTTCAAACCCCCAGCATCTGCACAGTGCCATCTAGGTGCCTGGGGCCTCTGCAGTCTGTGTTGGAGAACAGAAACAGGCAGATCCTAGAAGTTCACCGGAAGTGTTCCCTTCTGGCCTCATCATGACTGCATGGGCCCACGCCACTGCACCGTACAAACATACACAGCGCACTCAAAACGAATGGTGCCTCACATTAAAGCTACATTCTATATTACAAAATACGCTAAGAAAGCCTTAAACACAGTGGTGATTAACAATTTAGCTTCAAGGCGACATGTAGCAACGATGAATCACTAATACAACATACCAATAAATCCAGACATTTCAGCATTGTGTATGTGCATGCAGCCACACACATGTATAATATGCACTCTGCCTGTACACCAGCCAGGACCATGCCTGCTCCTTGGGTGACTGTCATTATCCTGTGTAGGTCCGTCTATGTCTTAGTTGTCAAGTATGTGTTTGTCCACATCAGACATCATTCTGCATGGATTCGCACAACTTGTGATCTCCATGTGAAGTGTATGTATATGTACGATCATAAGTAAGCCCTTTGGCAATGTAACCAGCACGCCACACTTCTGTGTTGAGCACAGATGAGCTTCCTGCCTGCTTTCCCCGCATTCTCAAAGCTGTCTGGCACACCCCACGCGCAGGCATCATGGGTCTGGCCGTGTGGGAAAGGGGAGCTCGCTGGGGTCCGCCGGTCAGTCCTTAGGGTGCTGCACGGTGCCTGGCCCGGCAGCACTGCGCTGCAGTCCGACACATCCGGTTTACCTACCTCACTGTTGTCCCAGCCAGGTCAGGGCTCTGTCTCCCCGTTTATCAAATGTAACCAGCGCTCGGTGCAGCCCTAGACGTCTCCGTTCCGCAAGGCATGGCTGGGAGACTCAGGCCGGGAGCGGCTGACTGGCACACCTGCCCTGTGTTTGAGGTTGACTGTCACCATGGAGACCAGTCTTGTCTGTGAGGGAGCTGGGTTCCTTGAGGTGGGTTAAATGTGGACAGCACCATCCCACGACTGGGGAGAGGCATGAAACGGCTCTCGACTCACTGACTGTGGAGACCATGTGAGCTCACACTGCTGCCCTGCCTTCCAGCCATGGTTGACTCCTCCTCCAAAGTGTGAGATAAAATAATATGAAACAATAACGAGCAAAGTGAGAGGAAAGGGGGCATTTTTACATTTACTTATCTGTGTATGTGGGTGCATGGGGGGCATGCTACATGAGCACGGAGATCAGAGGCCACCCCATGGGGGTCAGCTCCATCTGCCCACCGTGCTGGTTCCAGGGACCAGACCCAGGTCATAGGTCTTGGCAGCCACACTGAGCCACCTCATGGGTCCCAAACCTTCTTCTGCTAAGTTATTTCTATCAAACGTTTTAGTCAGAAACAGTGAAAGTAAAAATTACACCCATGCCCTACAGCCACTCAGTAGCAGAGGCAGGCCTTGAGGCCAAATCTGCATCACCGTAGGTCAGGCTTCTGAAGTACTCCAGGTCTCAAGCATAGCTCATGACCGCGATGACACAGTAGGAGTGCCCACACACACACACACACACACACACACACACACACACTCCAGTCAGTCTATGCTCATAGATTTGAAACATATATCAATCACACAGTTCTCGGGTGCCTTTCATATAAACATATGCACCAGCTGTGAACCTTGTACCTCCAGGCACCCCACTGGAGCTGAGGGGTTTGACCCACGCCTTCATGGCGTTTAAAGCCCAGAACGTACCACTGTGAACACACACCTCATATAGCCTGTGCCCACATGACTCATATATGTACCATATCTGATATTCAGATGGCACGAATATACTGTAGAAGCATGTGATCCCTCGCATGTGCCAAATCAGCTACACGAGGTCCACACGGAAAACTTCTGTGTCACTTACACCTACCTCCATACCGGCACCCCAAGCACCCACACGCGCAGTGTGCACACCACAGATGCCATACTCATGTCCTGCGCTGTGCCAGCCCAGCCCACTAGCGTACACATTCCTCTCCACGTCTACAGCCCGAGGACACACAGCCAGCGCGAGTGATTTGTGTGCCAGTTTTCCTGTCCTTATTGATACTCAAGCCAGTTCTCCTGGGTAGGTCTGGCATGGAAATGTGGGTCAGTAAATGGGTGCTTGGACCCCCAGTGCAGGGGAAAGAAGGTGGCCCCCGGCTTCACGCCTGATGGCCAGGAAATTATAGTCGACACAAAACCAAAGCAGGGTCTTTGCAGTCCAGGTAATCAGGCCTCTCCAAGATTCAGCCTGACAGTTTAAATGTTCTAATTCCGCTGCCAGGACGGACCCCCCCCTCCGGTCTCAGCCCAACCCTGGCCTGCTGTCATAATTAGACCCACGTTTTCATTATACTGAGATTAGGCAGGTCCCCTCCGGCTGGCCGGAGGATGCCACAGCTGCGCGGGAACCATCCTCTGCATGCGTGCATTTACCTGATTATGGAGTTTACTTTATAGCAATTGCTCCAGAGCCCTGAGGCCTCCTCTGCCCCACTCCAGACCCCAGACCCCAGAGGCCTCAACCAAAGCTGGACTAGGGGATTCTGCCTGACGCACTGACTCCGCTGCACCGACCCTGGAGGCTCTGAGCAGACACGCTCTCCTTTATAAAACACACTTACAGACTTCAGGGAGGGAAAGCTTCGCAGGAATCTTCTCAGGGTGCATAGGGAATCTCTAAGGGGCTCCTCCTTCCAAAGCTGTGTTTCATTTATTCATTCAAGAAACACACACTCAGTCCTCGGGTTGAAACATCTTCCTGGATGAAGGACTCCATCCGTTACACACCGGTTGTGTCAGGAGGGACTGCACACAGGCCACTGCCCTCTGGGAGATCCATCTGGAGGGGAGACCTTGCTGTGTGTGAAGGTAGAGCCCTTTGACCTACAGGGTCCTGTAGAGTTAGGGACAATGGCATGGGGAGGCCTACTCCAGATGGGAGACCCAGACAGTGGGGCAGTCTACAGAAAAAGACCCGGTGTGTGGGAGGCACGGAAAAGGACAGAGTGAAACCTGAGACAGGAGCCCCGGCCCTGGCAGTGCTCTGCCCTGAGGACACCGGAGCCACGGGAGACTCTCGAGCAGGGAAGGGACTCCCTCGATGTGTGCCAAGCCTGGGGCCAAATGCCCTGTACACAGTAACTCGGCTCTCCCACACATCAGCCCGAGGGGCCCATCTTCTCCACAGCGTTGACATTCAGAAGCCTTAGTGGTCTTAAAACTGTCCCGGAGTGAGGGGAGCGTTCGGATATTTTCTCTCGTGACCTGGTGTACATGCTCACGTTTTGTCAAAGATGTGTGTGAGCTTGTTCATGAGAGCTGCCCAGGCTGCAGAGGGCATGAGAGCAGGCTCTGTTTGACTCACTGGCTGATTGAGAAACAGGATCTCATGTAGCACAGACTGGCCTTAAACTTGCTGTGAGAGGGAATGTCCTTCTGTATGCTGTGAATACATGTTTCTCCTATTGGTTGATGAATAAAGCTGTTTAGGCTGATGGACAGGCTGATGTAGCCAGGCAGAAAGTACAGGCGGGGCTATCAGACTAGGAGAAGGCTGGGAAGCAGTCACCAGGGGGAGATGCCATGTAGCCACCAACAGAGTAACAAGCTAGAACATTACAGGTAAGCCACACTTTTGTGGCAATACACTGTTTAATAGAAATGGGTTAATAATTAAGGGAGCGCTAGCCAATAAGAAGCCCGAGCCATCGGCCAAGCTGTTTACAATTAATATAAGCCTCTATGTATTTATTTGGGACTAAACAGGGCTGCAGGACCAGGTGTGACAGAAACATCTGTCTACACTGTGTAGACACTGAGAAGACCTCTGGTCTTCTCCCTCCACCCCCTCAAGACTGGGAATTACAGATGCGAGACACTGTATCCAGTCTTATTAGTGCTGGGAGTGCAACCCAGAGCCTCACATGGGCTGTGCAAGCACTCTTCTGAGTAAACCACATGCCAGGTCTCTAACAGACAACAGGCTAAGGGGCTCAAAGCTACCTGACTTTCCTGATTGCGAGGCAGGCACTGGAGATGGGCAATCCTTAGTCTACAGCTGATGAGTGTCAACAGGCTAGATTCAATGCCCCCTCCAGGGGACACGTGGGAGCAGAGACACAGTCTTTGGCTTTTGAGATTCTGAAATGGGCTCTAGGCCTGGCCAGCACATGCTCAGCACTCGGCCCACGCTTGTGGGCACTGCCAGCCCTACCTCACAGCCGAAGGACACAGTAGGTAGTAGAGTGTACGCGGCCAGCGTCCTACAGCGAGGGCAGGAGAGCTGAGGTAGGCACGGTGAGATGTCACCGGGACTCTTCTGGGGGACCAGCAAGATGGAGGTATTAACTGTACCAAATGGAGAGAAAAAAAAAAAAACAGACATCCTTAAACACAGGTCAGGGTCAAAAGCCCCAGTGCCAGGTCACCAGGCAGCACAGCCACTATCGTCAGGCCCTAGTGACAGCCTGCTCCATCTCCCTCCCTCCCAGCCCCTGCGAGAAGCCCTCCCTGATTCCTTTGAACCAAGCTCCAGGTTTACAGATCCAGAGCCTCTGGCGGGGCCTCTACACCCCTCACTCAAGGTGTTTCTGAGGTACTTCCCCCATACATCTTCTCTCCGGAAGACAGCATCCCCCACTTCTAAAGCCAGCTAAACCAGGGTTTGAACCCCAGACAGGACACTTCCTCGCTGTGTGGCCCATGACAGGTCAGCCCTTCCTCTAGCCTCAGTCCCCTTCTGAAGGTGGAGCTAACGGTCCTGTGCAGGTGACAGACAAGGCCTTTCCCTGGCTGCTGCTGCAGGCACTACCTAGGGCATTAGAGACACCCAGTAAGGTCCTCAGCCATTCCTTTCCCCGACACAGAGTGCCCAGCTCAAAACAATCAAGCCCCGTCCTCCAGCCTGCTCTCCAGACAGCACAGAGGGGCCTGGGCCATCTCCTAGCTGACTCCCCTGGGATCCCTGGCTGCAGCTGCATTGAGCATCTGCGCCCCTGTTCCAGGACTTCCTCCATCCACTCTCTCTCCCACGCCACTCCTGACACGCCCCCATGTCCATGCCTACATGTTTAAACTCTGCGGCTCACTGTGGACCCAGTCACTTCTTTCTAGCAAGTGGTCCATTGAGTGCCTGCTGTGTGCTCAGATCAGGACCAGGTACCTTCAAAGCTAACCCGGTGGCTGTCACAGCGGGAGGTGGGGAACCATCTGTACTGGAGTTGGAGTGTATATGAGGAGAGGAGGTTGATGAAACTGCTCAGGCCTGAAGGTGGAGAGACACGATCACCCTAGATCACCCTAGTACGAGCGCTGAGTAGTGAGGGCCTTAAGCTCTCCCAACCTCCTCCTCCAGACAGGAGAGCAGTCAGCCATGGTTCCCTCATGCCAGGATAATGACCAACCTAATCACATCTCCGATGAACACCCAACAGCATGAGTGTCCATGTGTCTCCTTCTGGGCTCAGATTCTTGACAATCTGTGTCATATTGGTGATGGATGAGAGATGGTTGCTTCCTTGCTGTCCTTGCTTGGCAGGTGAAGATGGATGGCCAGGGAATGCCACTGTACAGAGGTTCTGGAGACATGGAAAACAGTCTCCAGGAGTCAGAGCACTATCTGGGGCATCCCTGGATCAGCCCTTCCCATTTGGACACTAACTCGCAACACCAACAAACACCACTGAGAGCAAAGGGACCAGGCAAGCTAGAGCTAGGAGGAATCAGCCGTGGAAAAGCACACGGATGAATGCTGGGGGCCAAGAGGCCCCGGAAAAGCAGAAGGCAGACTGTATGAGCAGCCAGGGATGGAACCAGAGCCGGGAATGGTCCCCAGGGGCAGCCAGAGCAGGAAGTCTCCAGACTACACCAGAAGATTCTGGCTTCAAGGCCATGTGACTTTTTTTTCTAGCTCTTGCCTTCTCTGAGCCACAGTGATTTCATTGACTTTTAATACAGAGTCCTAGGTGCTATGAAATGCGTGAGGGACCTTGGCAGAGTCCATGGCAGGCAAGGGTGACCGAGGCAGGGGACAAATATGGGGCAGACAGAGCTCAGTGAGAAGTTTTATTAGAAAGGGAAGGGGGCGGGAAAAGAGGTAAAGAGACACAGAGACAGAGACACAGACAGAGACAAAGAGACACAGAGACACAGACAGAGACAGACAGAGACAAAGAGACACAGAGACACAGACAGAGAGACACAGACAGAGACAGAGAGATAGACAGAGATAGAGACAGAGAGACAGAGACAGAAAGACAGAGAGACACAGACAGAGAGAGGACAGAAGGGAAGAGGGAGACAGGAAAAGTCCTGTCTGACCCAGGGGAACAGCAGGAAAGAGATGTAAGTGGGCAGGATCTGTCTTTATAAGGGGTCCTTTGCACCTGCATGTAGACTAGTAGTCATGGAACCCTGGGCTGACCAGGGCACTGCCTGAGTGCATTCTGCCAGGTGACAGGGGCAGGCCAGCATAATGCCTGAACCCTTACACTAGGTATCCACGGGCCCAGTCTAGGGAAGGGATAGAAAGGGCCTGAGTCAGGGAGTACAGCACAGATAGGACCCATCCACTCTCCATGGCTGGCTGTCACTGTCCACTTCAGGGTGCCATTGTCCAGGAGGAAGACAACAGGTCAGGTGACATCTATCTCTAGGTCCCACATACTCTGTCCTAGTGCCATGTCTGCATTCACAATAGGAACTTTTCTGAAGAGGTCAGTAGAAGGAAGTGTGGTGGGACATGCAGACCCGTGTCCCAGCCTCCCTCGGCTTCTATGCTGTCTATGGGGTGCTGTAAGGTGCACAGCTTGGTCCTCTCTCATCTCCTTCTCCTCAGCTTCCACCCTGCTATTGATTTCAGCCAGGACTAGGACCCGTGACAGACTCTAGGAGCACCTGAAGGCAAACATTGGCGAGGGGCTGAAGTCAACCTTGGAGATCCTGTTCAGCTCTAGGGACAGTGACTTTGGCTCCCACTGCCTGCTTGCTACCTGCTGACCTCAGAGCTACCACGGGCTGAGCAAGCAGAGATGGGCATAGCGACCCAGAGTCCAGCATAAGATGCAGACAGGTGCTTCAGGGGGCGCAGAAAACCCCTTCTCACAAGGAGCCCTGTGAGCCAGAATTCTGCAGCGAGGAAGCTGCTCAGCCCTAGGGAGAAGCAGAACTTGCCTAGGTTAGAAGTCTCCTTAGAATATTCTCTTCCTCCATCACAAAAGGGCTGGAGAAATCCAGAGAGACACCGAGAACAACTAACTATGAGACAGCTCCCAAACTCTGCTGCTCAGGCTGGCTTTTCCCGTTTGCTGGTTGCTCTAAAAACCACAGCATACGCTGCCCACAGGAATAATGATGCTGTAATAACAACGGCACCATGGGCTCTCATCTGGTCAGAGCCACCACCTAGCAGGAACGCACGGTGCAACCCACCAGGTGTTTGTAAGACAGTAAAACACGCGTGGTTTAAGAGGCTCCACCCAATCACCTCTAGCCTGCCGCCTTGAGCCCAAGCGCAGAGGTCAGGCGCTCCACTGTCCATTTTGGGCCCAGGCAGAGAGTCTCCACTCTGAGCATTCCTGTGCCTCGGGTCACCTGGAGAATTTCGTGCAGACTGGGAGCCCTGTGCCAGCTTAGGGCTAGCTATAAGCCCCCCACTCCCACCCCTCTGCGCCTCAAAGCCCCTCTCTCCCAAAGCCTGAGCAATCAAGGCGGCTGCCTACCGGGCTAGAGCTAGTGCCCGCCTCCTCTCAGCCCCTCCCCTCCGCTGCAAACCCAGCTCATTTGCATGTGGATCGCGCCTGCCACCATGGGTGCTGGGGTCAATTGAAACTCAAGAAAAGAGAAGAAATTTATGCAAAACTGTTGATTGCATTTGTATGTAATGAAATCATCCAATATTCATCTGACTATAGAATCTAATCTGAGAAGAGAACTGAAGGACATGAGTGTCACTGCAAAAGCCTAATGAGCCACTGTAGTGATTAAAAAAGCTCTTGAGCCTTCTGAAAAATCCAGGCAGAAATAGCGTCTAATCAACTCTGAATATAGGAGGCGAGATTGGGCTGGCGCGCTGCGCACGGCCCGCCCGGGCGCTGGGGGTGCGTGGTAAACCCTGGCGGTCGTGGTCTGTGGGTGCCAAGCGCCTGGCCACAATCAGCTGAGGCCTCGGTGCACAAAGCAACCGCCTCTCGCCACGCAGAAAGAACCCAATCACAGCTGGTGCGAAGAGCAGATTGGGGCTGCCACACCGCCTTGCACCCACCGCGCAGAGGCCCCCTCCTGAGTCTCTGCTCCAATGGAAAGGGCTGGAGAATCTGGGTCTGCCACACCTGGCTGCTCCCAAGGCCACGCGGGAGAGAGTAGTGTCTCTCCGGACTTAACCCACAGAGACGCGGTCTCAGAGAGGTGCTGCCTGACAAAATCCCTCTCTAGCTCCAGGCTTTGCCTCCGGGCACTTGGCATTGTCTTATGACTACTTGGTGAATGTTGGTCTCTTCCATGAGTCGGAGGGCAGCATCCCTGTGGTGACTGCTTCACCTCTGGAACCTGTGTAAGCCGCCCCCCCTCCCCAAGCACGGACAAGACGCCGAGGCAAACGTCTGGGGAATGCATAAACCATCCCATCCAGCAGCCCCATGCATTTAAACCCGTTTGTTCCTTCAGCAGATCCTTGCCATATAGGCTTGGTTCCGGGCACAGAGCAGGCTGTGAGGGTTAAGGTCCCTGCCCTCTCAGCGTTCACAGAGGGGACAGGAGGATTAAAGAGTACAAACAACCAGATCGGTCAATGTGGTGGTCGGGGAGACAGGGGCAGGAGGACAGCTGTCAGTGGGCACTGAGGTATCAGGCTGGAGTCTGGAGATGAGCAACCGGGTTCCCAGGCTCCGGGACCTTTTTACAATGAGGAGACAGACACATGGTTGGCCACAGGAGCGGAGATGGAGAGGATGGAGAGTGGAGGGGAGGTGCGGAGGGAGCTGCTGGTAGACCTTTCCTCCCGTGTGGTCTGGCTTCTAGGAGGCAAGAAAGGAGAGCTGTGAGGCAGACCCTCAGTGCTGAATCATTCACATAGGACCCGCCTCTAGGCCAGGGGCGTCCCATTCAGGCCAATAGGGCTTTCCAGGGTCTGCTCTGGGCTGGTGGTGCTCAGGTAACTACCGGCTCCCAGAGCCCCCATCCCCACCCCTGCGCCGTGCTAACCTCTGGGATTTTCTCCTTTATTCCCTGTTTTCCTGCCGCGCTAACTCATCTAGGGGAGTCACTAATGGCTACTCCATGCAGCTGTGCTCAGTGAAGTCTGGAGCATCCTGGGCAGAAGGAACAGAATGTACAATCTCTGAAGGGGGGGG